CCCCATAGGATGGTAATAAAGATGGACAAGGAGTGTTAGCGAGGATGCGGAAAAACTGGAACCCTCATTCACCGCTAGGGAATATAAAATGGTCCAGCCACTGTGCAAGAGTCTGGCAATTCCTCAAAAGGTTAAACACTGAGTTACCCTACAATCCAGCAATCCCATTCCTAAGTATCTCCCAGGAGAAATGAACGCATATGTCCACCCCAAACTTGTACATGCGTTATTTGTAATAGCCAAGAAGTAGAAACAACCCAAATGTCCACCAACTGATGAATGGACAAAATGTGGTATATCCATAAAATGGAATGTTATTCAGCCTTTAAAAGCAATGAAGTATTAATATATGTTACAAAACAGATAGACCTTGAAAGCCAAAGGACCTTCTATGACATGATTCCATTCCAATGAAATGTCCAGAAAGGCAAATGTAGAGACAGGTCAGTGGCTGCCTAGGGTTGAGGGATGGGGGAATGGGGAGAGACTACTAATGAATGGATATGGGGTTTTGGGGGTAGATGATGAAAATGTTTGAAAATTAGATTATAGTGATGACTGGACAACTCTGTGAATGTACTAAAAACCACTGAATTGTTCACTTTAATAAATGGATGTGCATTATACAATACCTCAATAAAAGCCAATAAACTAACCAATAGGTAGGAGATGCCAGGAAGGGGTTAGGAGGGCAGAAGTGAGCCTGCAGAAGTAGGCAGTGGCCAGACTCAGTCCTGACTTTACCTTGAGGGCAGGGACTGGGCAGAGGAGTTTCCAGACAAGATCTGAAATGCCCTCAGCTGTGAGGCTATCAGGGACTCCTTGAGACATGCAGTTAGGCATAGAGAGGACATTCAGACTTGGAGAGGGACTCTAAGAGCACCGTGTGTGTGTGTGTGTGTGTGTGTGTGTGTGTGTGTGTGTGTGTAGAACCGCACACACTTGTGCTCCCTCCCCAGCTCAATCCCTGTAATCAACACCAGCATCTCGAGGGAGAGGGAGTGATGTCACTGGTTGGGGAGGAAAAGGCCCAGGCCAGGTTGTGGTAGAGACAGTTGCCATGGAAATGGTTTCTCTGGGAACCAAGTGAAAGCCACCAGAAGTGAGGGGGGGTGGGCAAGGTGGCCTCGATTCTGAGAACTAGAAACCAATCACACCTACCCGCCTCTGGGTATCAATCACCATGCTAATATTTCTGGATATTTGTTATGTGCTGGGCTGTTGGCAGTGCTTTACCTGCACCGACTGCCAACTTTATGAGGTGGGAATTATTCAAAACCCCATTTTACAGAGGAGCAAGCTAAAGCCAAGAGAACTTTAGTAACTTACTCCAAGTCACACAGGTAGTCAGGACAGACCCAGGCTATCTGATCCCAGAGCTGAGCTGCTAATCACTCACTAGCCTCTCCAACACGACATCGTGTCCACCTTCCACACCGTGTGCCATCTCTAGCGCTCCCCATTCTCTAAGGACATCCGGGGCATCTCCATCACCTTCCAGACTTGTTCAGGTCTCACTCTGAATCCAATTCAGTGCTGTCTACCTCCCCAGCCACAGGCTAGACTCCCAAAGGCTAGAAGCTAGGAAGGCCATTAGCTGCTCTTTCCTGCCCCCACCTCGGGAATCTGTCCCTGCTCTGGGCGGGGGCTGGCGGAGGAGAAAGGCAAAGGGCTCTTGAACTCAGAGCGGGGCTCTGCTGGCGCTGACCCAGCACTCTCCATCGGGCAGTCCCCACATTCATGGGGACCTATGAGGCATTCCTGTTGTGGTCCTCTGCCTCTGCCTCAGCCTGTCTCTTGCTCCCCGCAGCTCCCACTACAACTGGCCATCCCGCGTGCTGGCTGGGTTCAGGTTCTGCTATATTCCTCTGTGCTCAAGCAGCCCTGTGGGGACTCTGCATGTGTGACCCACCACATGGCAGGGACTCTCCACCTCTCTTTTCCCATTTGGAAGGATGGGCACGTTTGCTTTGAGAAAGGAAAAGCCAGGCCCTGGCTCGCTCCCGTCAGACAGAACTTCAGAGAACACCAGGCAGGGCCACTCCGACTGTGGTGGATGAGACAGAACAAGACCACTCTGGAATCATATTTCAACACAGACAGATGCACAAACCTTGTCCAAAGCACAAAAATGACCCAAGTCCCCTTCCTGGCTCAGAGCAGACAGGAGCTTCTTACCTTAACCATAGCATTAGCTGGGCTCACTCCTCCTGCCTCCAGATGAAGTGGAGATACCCAGTCCCGGACTTGCCTCTGCTGCCCAGCCTCCAATCCAGAGCCAAGCCTGCTTCCCGAACCCTTCCCAAAGCTACCTAACCCCACCCAGCTCCCATAAGAAGCTCTCCATAACACCCACTTACTGAGACGCCCCGAGGGACCCAATGGTGGAGGGCAAGAAACCCGATGTTCAACTATAGGTGCTCCTGGCAGCCTCTGGCACGAGGCGCGGACAGATGAGGAACAGACGGGGGAGTAAGACACCAGCCCCTCTTTAGCAGGCATTTGACACTCAACGACAATTCCTGACAGGCCTCCTTCCCTGCTCCCCACAAACACTGTCCTCTCGACTCTACATGGGGCTGGGGCTGAGCAAGGCCCTGCTCTTCCTCAATCTTGATCAGTTCAGCAGGGAGCGGTGTGGTCTCAACTTTCAGCAACTCTGGAATGGAAGTACTTGGTTCCTTTTGTTCTCTGCTCTGGGCAGCGAGGATTACAGATCTGAGGGTGAAGGGGAAATCACTGAACCAAAGGTCAGGGAGGACCCACAGCCTGAGTCTCATCCACACTCATGGTTCCCTGGAGTTTCTCTCAATCACTTGCCAACCTTTTAAAACTTGGATCTCACAGGAAATGCTCGATTTCCAACTTCATAAAATCAGCAGCTCTGCACTGCAAGGTGGGGTCACCCCTGAGGTGCCTTTGGGGTTTCCCAGGGGCTTTGTTGGCCTCTCCTGAACACAGGCCCTTTGCGTTTAAGGAGAGGCTTGTTCGTTGAGCCAGGAACTGTTCTACGCCTTTTCGTGTATTATCTGTCTGCACCACTGCCCTCTGAGGGTTCTGTTATTGTCCCTACTTTAGTGATGAGACCACTGTAGCACACAAGGGCCCGGTATCTTGCTGGAGGCCACAGTGCAGTAAGTGATGGCATCTTGAGCTCTGGGCACTAGGCTGTCAACTACCTCCAGTTTGCCCAGTCCTCTTCCTATAGCCAGTCCCTGTGGGAACAGGAGGGGGCACCCTAGGGCTGGCCCTAGCTTTCATCTTCCAGATGAGAAAATAGGCTCCCTTGGGAGGTGTGATAGGCTGGATAATGGCTCTCCGAAGAGGTCTACATCCTAGTCCCCACAACCTGTGAACACATTACCCTACCTGGAAAAAGGGAGTCTGCAGATATGATTAAACTGAGGATCCTGAATGCAGATATTCTGGATGATCTGGGTGAACCCTAATGTAATCACAAACCCTAATGTAATGTAAGTGGGAGGGCAAGAGGATCAAAGGAGAAAATGGGAGAGGAGATGATAGAAGCAAAGGTCAGAGTGATGCGAGAAGGGCCATGAGCTGAGGAACACAGGCGCCTCTAGAAAACGCAAGAAAATGGATTCTCCCCTTGAGCCTCCAGAAGGAACACAGCCCTGCAAACCTACTGTAGACTTTCGGTCTTCAGAAGTGAAAGGGAACGAAAGTGTGTTGATCTGAGCCACTGCGTTTATGATGGTCTGTTGCAACAGCCATGGGAAACAAACACAGAAGATGAGCACCGAGGGTGCTGGAGCCAGTACAGCCATGTGGGGCCTACCCAGGCTTGAAGGGCCGTGGCTGCTTCTGCCGAGGGAGACACCACAGGAGCAGCGGAAGGGCGCCTGAGGACTCTGAGCTACTAGGCCACGTGGCGGACTTATGCTCTGCATGCCTGGCCCCTGTACCGCCCTTTCCCCAACCGGGCTGGCCTTGGCCCTCCTGCCCTTGTTTGCCAGGACACCCACCTCCAACTCCTGCCCCCTTCCGGGCCTGCATGACCCCGGTACCTGCCCTAGCACCTCTTCAGAGAGAATCTAGGTCCGTCTGATGCAAACTGGGTGCCTTTTCTATCATGCCAGGCCCAGTCACCTTGATTGGGAAACAGTGAGGGGTGGCTGGTGAGGAGGGCCTCCACTGGGGCAGGAAGATGGGGAGGAACAGGTCGGAATCGATGGAATTTGGCAATCGTGAGCAGCGGCAAACCTGAGGTGAAGGTCTAGATGAGGCGGCCTCCCGGCAGGCTGTGCCCTGGACTGCGGGTCAGGGACCTCACAGAGCCTAAAGAAGACAGGCTCTCCCTGGGGCTTGTGGGGTCTTAAAAGCTATGCGGTATTGTGGAGGCCTGGGCTCTAACTAGCGGTGTGACTGCGCACAACCCCCTTCACCTCTCAGGGCCTCAGTCTTGCCCCCTGCAGGACCAGCAGGTCGGCCTGTGAGCTGAGGCCTCTTCTCAACACTGGTCTCAGACACTCGGGATCCTGCATAGGTGGCTGCTCTCCTTCTCCCTCCCTGGCAGCGCTGGGGCCCCTCCCCAACTCAGGCCTCTAGGGCCTCGCTAACCAGGAACTGTTGCCAGGTGTGTCAGGGCCCCCAGAGAATCCCCCCACTCCCCCTCCCCATCAAAGAGCCAGGGTGATGCAACCTGCATGCAATGGCCACTGCACTCCCCAAGCCTGGCTCCTCCGCACTGAAAAAGAGTCCCCAGAAGCCCTGCCCATGCTCCCAGCCCCAGCTCAGGAGTTGAAGGGACTGGGGCACCTGGACCCACGTGCAAGACTGCAAGTCTTGGGGAGGCAGCGGCATTTGAGTCCTGGAGGTGCCATGGGTCTGGGGTCAAGAGGAGGTACAGGAGAGGGCTTGGGGTGCCAAGACCGGGGTTCACAGGTGGCCATGGATGACCCACCAGTCACAAATTAGAATACACCAGGAAGGGCTAGGGAGCTAAGTGTGTGAACTGGCACCCACTCAGTAGGAATCAGTCAAGCTGCTTTGATGGGACAGCTGGCACCAGGGCTGAACCGGGTGAGATCCAACAGCTAGGGAGAGAAAAAGCTGCAAGGGGCTGGGACAAGAGGACCAGGGTCCCTGCCCCAATGTCTCCTCAGTCAGCATATGTGGCATGCAGCCGGCAACATGATTCCCATACTAAGCAAGTTCATGTCCAGTAATTAACAAATATCCTACCTGGCCACCCTCTCAAAAACCCATAATCCCAGTCTATGAGACAAAACCAAATTGAGGAATATTCTATAGAATGACCAACTCTTCAAAACCGCCGAGATCATGAAAAGACTAGGAAAGTCTGAGAAACTGCTGCAGAGATCAGAGGCTAAGGAGACATGACGACTAAATGTGATACGGCATCTGGAACAAAAAAACAGCATTAAGAACAACTAGTGAAATGAGAATAAAGCATGCACTTTAAAACCCCCTTATTGGGGCGCCTGGGTGGCGCAGTCGGTTAAGCGTCCGACTTCAGCCAGGTCACGATCTCGCGGTCCGTGAGTTCGAGCCCCGCGTCAGGCTCTGGGCTGATGGCTCGGAGCCTGGAGCCTGTTTCCGATTCTGTGTCTCCCTCTCTCTCTGCCCCTCCCCCGTTCATGCTCTGTCTCTCTCTGTCCCAAAAATAAATAAAAAACGTTGAAAAAAATTAAAAAAAAAATAAAATAAAACCCCCTTATCTGTGTGGCTTCTTTAGTTGTGACCCATGTACCACAGTAATGTTAGATGTCAACGAGGGGGAAAACTGGATGAGGGATATATGGAAACTCTCTGTACTATCTTTGTGACTTTTCTGTAGATCTAGTCCACATGTATATCATAGAATATCTTTTCAGAAAAAAACTCAGACTTTGGTGGGTAGTGGGGGGGACACGACTCTCTGCCAGCAGTCCGTCCTAATCCTACCTATGGCTCAAATATCTATACTGAGAAGTAGAAGGAAGGTCGGTCCTTAAGTCTCACTTAAAAGGCTGGGAGATCTTTTAAAGCACTTACTGCTTAGCAGTGGGGATAAAACACAGCTGCCTCAGTAACAACCACCACCACTACTCATGTAGCACCTGTTTGCCAGGCACTAATCTAAGTGCTTGACCTGAATTTATTTAATCCTCATAACAGTACTAAGATGTAGGCACTATTGTTTTGCAAACTCTACTGGTGTGGGGCTCAAACTCACGGCCCCAAGATCAAGTCGCATGCTCTACTAACTGAGCCAGTCAGGCACCCAAGAAGTAGACACTCTGAACTGCCATGTATATTGCTATGTTTCTATTAACTAAACTTCATACTTTATTCTGGTACTATTAATGGAGACTGAGGCACAGGGAAGTAAGCGAAATTGCCAACAAGCTAATAAGGAGGGTAGAGTCAGGGTTTGAACCCAACGACCTAGCGCCACAGTCTGTGCTTAACTGCGACTCTGTGCTCCCCAGGTAATCATGTAGGTCAAGTCCTCAAACACTGGCAGAGTGGACAGCTAGTGCTCTAAGTGAAAGTGGTCCGATTCCAAGAAGGATTTCCTGCATGTAACAGAAGCCTGCACGTCTTCATTCCCAGATACCTCTCAAGTTCAGGGTTCCCCCACTTTCTTTGGATCTCATAACCCTCACAAGCGATGAAAGCTGAACTCCAGGTGTCCTGCTGTGGGCAGATGCAAAGTGGGGAAGGGTTTCTGAAGCAATGACCCAAAACCACCTGGGCTAGTGGAGGGCCTACTGCACAGGAAGGGAATGGCCAGGAAGCCCCTCTGTTTAGTAAAGGGAAGTGCAGATCTCACTATTTCCGGCAGGTTTGGGAAATTGATCCGGGGTGGCTGGGGGACAGCTGAAGCAGAGGACCTTTTGAAAGAAGTGCTGAGGATAAGAACTGATGCAGAAATAAGCTGATGGAGAGTAAGAGGATGGAGAAAAGGCAGTTATGGTGATGATGCTGGCTTCTCTGCACCCCACACAGGGATGTGCTGAGCGTCCATCATCTACGATGGGGAAGGGTGGGGATGGCTGGAAATTACTGAGACCTTGAAGGAGTGACCTACTAGCACATGCTGGATGTTCAAATGTCCGGGGCTTTTGCCAGAGCGGGAGGAAGGGGTAAGGGTTCCTATTAAAAATACAATATGTTGAAAAATAAAAATGAAAATAAAAAACGTTGAAAAATAAAATAAAATACGCTGAACAGGTACATAAGAGCCCGGCTCTCGGTTTCACAGGCATCGACCTATTTGATTCCAACAAACAACCTCACCAGGTATACCTGATTTATTAATCCTCCTCATTACAGGTAGTTAGTCCCCAATCTACGAGACTAGAGACCTTGTCACTTGCCACCCTCGAAAGTCTGAGATTTGAAAGGCGCGCGATCTCATCGTGACTCACGCCAGACTCTAACCCACAAAAAGGTTTCTTAGCGTGGGGCAGTTGGGGGATGAGGACACTAGCGTGTGGCTGGCCGGAAATTCGGGAAGCAGGGGGAAAAGTGAACTGATGCAGCTCGGGGCGGGGGGGGGGGGGGGGGGG